GTGAGTTAGTGAGGTGATCGATAAGAAAAAAGAAAACTAGACTGTGTGCTGTTGTAACGATGTGACAATGCATGTACGTATTCAATGTATGATAACTTGTTGGACTGCGACGTATTGTTACATCCGCAGAAATGGTCGAGTTGCGCTGTATAATTAATTTCAATTAATTATTTTTATCTTGATAATTTATTCTCTTTGTTATCTTTCGATTGTTAAACCGTATATACGGCACGGGCATTTTAGAGCAGCGAGGTTTTGCAGCGCGGTTGTAGTTGTAGTTCGTGTAGTTTCGATCTGAATTATTGGTGATCGTGCGTTTCTCTTCGATTGGAGAATAAATTAACGTTTCTTTCACTGTTGGCGTTCAAATAAACGCTCAACAAAGTTCATCTATCGAAAATCTTGAACCTACGGAATGGCGAACACTTGACGATCGTCGGAAGCTACAACACTGGTGATGGAAAGGTGAAAGGTAGAGATCATTGAAGTTAGAACACTGGTGTCGGTAGTGACGATCGTCGAAGTTTATAACAGCATGTAGGTTTCTCCATGTGTGTAGATGAAATGAATTGTATCAATGCTCGTGTTTGTATGTGGTTGGTTTCGTCATCATCATCATCACCATGGAAGCTGTTTCTTTATAACGCCACTTGAATTTGATGCATGTTTTTATATCTACTTTATACTTGTTTATTCCTATCAAAAATCACTGTTATCAATAAGTTGCTTACACACACATACACACGCTCATACATGCAAGTACACAAACACACATACACACGCACACACACATAAATAATGCATATTTGTGTGTATGTTTATTTATATACCTGAACGCATGCAAGTTTGTTTGCCAGGTATCGAGTGTCGGTTGCTTGCATGACATGAACTGCCCTTCTTCGAGTAGCTTATCGTTGTCATCACCATCATATTATCATCAAATGTCATCATCATCTTCATCGTTATTTCCTTTTTAGTGCCACCATTATTTCATCATTATTTTTTTTAATTTATTGTCATCACCGTTATCATCATCAATCTTTAACATCAGTCACAAAACACAAGTCGCTATCAACGAGACAGCTCAGTCAGTTAGGACGTCGTGTTTCACGTCCTCGTAGTTGCGCGTTAACCTGGTTCGAAGACTGCTGCATACCATAAGCGTGTCATCAGATGCTTGCGCTGACGTGATGGTTTGAATGCTTGTAGAGTATGCAGTAGAGCGTCTGTGGCAGTTCAGCTGCAAGTGAGGAAGTTAGGCAAAAGCTGTTGTGCGTCTTTCATGCAACATTCATAATTGTCGTGCAACATTCATAGTTGTCGTGCAACATTTTAAAATGTCGCGCAACATTCATAGTTGTCGTGCAACATTCATAATTGTCGTGCAACATTCACAGTCGCATCAGCATTCAAGCAATGAAGGCAGTGATGAAATGAGAATATGATGGATAATATTATCATCATCATCATCATTGCATCTCATCATTTTAGTCATCAACACTATCATTGTAACGAATATCGCCATCGTTATCATCTTCATCATTATCACTACAGAACCAGATGAACAGAAACGAATGAAAGAGTTGGAAAACAACAACAACATCAACAGCAACAACAACAACAACAATCACAATGAATACACCATCCCGTATGGTGAGTGTGACAATTTACTGCCACCCTTCAATAATTACGTCTGCCACGTTCCTTCTAATACTACGCAGTATACATTATCATCATTTGCATATCGTTGTTTCATTATCAGTCTTTATATTCATATTATCGTCATCATCACCAGTGACATCATCATCAATGACATCATCATCAATGACTTCATGATTACCGATGCTACAATCCTGATGTCATTGTCATCCTTGTCCGATTCGTTGTTTACCAACTTCTACCTTGTTGCTTCACACATTCATCATCATTATCATCATCATCATATTATTATCACTGACATCCATACATAATCACTGAAATCTCACATCCCAAATGTCATCATAATCGTCGTCACTATCATCATCATCACCATCATCATTAATGAGATCCTCGCTATCATTATTATCATATTTATATTATTAAATCAAAGAACATAGAGGGGAAAGTTTAAAAATCTTCAGTTCACTTTTTGTCTTCTGTTCCTCCATACTGCAGTATGCTCTTCAGGAAAGGATGTAAATGAAACTTTTCTTGTTGTGCACATGCACACATGTTATACACACACACACACACACACATACATACATACATACATACACACATACATACATACATACATACACACACACATACATACATACATACACACACACACACATACATACATAAAAGTAAACGCATGTGCACATGTGACAAAATGACGGCAACATGCAAGTTATATTTATTCGATGCGTTCTTTCGTTTCTGTTCTTTAGTGAACCTAAGCGAGAAACTTGAGCAAACATGAGAGGAACAGGTAGGAGGTGAACCAACGACATCAACAATGTAACGAGTATAACAACTATGCAAAATCACTCAAAACAAAACACATCAACAACAAAAAACACAACAACAACATCAATAACGAAAACAACAACAATATCACCACTACCGACAACAACACCTCTAACACCACTGACAACAACGACAACAACATTGACAAAGCGTGTCTTATTGGAATGCACATACATTTTACCTGCTTATGTGCGGGGCTGGCTGGTATTAGGCGTTGCATGTTTGCACGTTGGTAGACATTATCTCCAATACCGTCATCATTTCTTCGCTCAATCATTTTTTGCTCCTTCATATAT